ACAACTAATAACGCTATTTGTTCAGAGATTAAAGCGTTTAACCTTAAAGTGTTATTATATTGTTCATATAACAAAATGATCTTTCACACTCAGTTGAAGATATAGCAATAGTTGAAATCGTAGTTAGTAGTGGATTTAATATAGCTATTTTAGAGGAATCTTTTAAGTTTTCAAATAAGTGGTCAACTTTATGTACTGACTAGTGACCTGAGACAACAAATCTATAAATTTAAATATGCATATAATTATTGAGTTTGGTTTTGATAAATGTATTATTATTTATTATTAAAAACATACTTGATAATCAGTATACTTGGTATTTGCGTGTAATGTTCTAAGAGTGCTCAGAAATAGAAAAACTACAGTAAAAGTAGTAATTAATACTTCAATACTTGTTTTTGTGAAATACAATATAATTCAAATGAAATGATACTTTGATATTATMCGAAAAGCTTTCGCATCAATGCATACTACAGACAACAAATGGTACTATCAATAACAGTTATCACTAACTTATTTAAATAATTTAAATGAATAAAAAAAACAAAAATTTAGTTATATTTATTATTTGTAAGATTAATATTATTTTTTTATAAATGAATTAAAGGATTTACAGAAAATGTATAAATTAAATCTTGCATATACACATACAAATTATTATTTACAAAGTTTTTGATTTCTTTTTGTAAAAACATATCAGTAGAAACCAAATGAATTAATGTTGTAGTAGGATATAAATATTCTAATATTTATCGAAATTATTCGCCAACTTCCATAGGTGTAATATGATTATCGGACACCAACCCTGAAGAGTCTCTTTGAATCGTATCATAAATAGCACTTAAATCTGGTGTGTTTTTAATTTGACATACAAAGTCACTCATATGTGGATTTTTATCTAAAAAAATATATATATATATAAATATCAGAGATTAATAATAATAATACTACAACACAAAGAAATTTATTTATTTATTTAGGTATATTATTTTGAAGATACCAAATTTTTCAAAATTACTCTTATAATACATACTTAGAATATAATATATTAGAAATGTATATTTTATTTAGTATTAGAAAAAAAGAAACTCTTGAAAAAAAATTTAATTTACCAGAATCGGGTATAGTTTGTAGATGAACAACTGCTCGCATAGCAGATCTCTTAAGTTCTTCCATTTTTTCAAACTCTTGTTTCACTGAGTTTGCTTTAATTTTTAATAAACATGTTTGTTTTAAAGGTTCAACAATTTTATCCAATCCTAAAAAGAAAATATTTTTATATCATTTAATGGTTAAAGGCAGAATTAAGCAACTAACTTTGTAATACAGCGCTTGGTACGATTTGAGCCATTCTTGAAACCATTAGGTATGTGAGCATTTTGATGTCATAATGATCACGAAGTCCATTCTCCAAATAATTAAGATATTCGAATATATCTAAACGGTCTAAACATGAGTCCAACAGTGTATACATACATTCAAAAGCTGCCTTTCTTATATCTAACCCATCATCAACAGTATGCTTAAATGGACCCATTTCAACTTCTCGTATGAGTTCTTTCTAAAATTCACATGATTAGTATAAAAATTTAATTTTTAAAGGAACGTTGCACCTGCATGTRTGTTGTCTCAGTGTTACACACATGATTTCAAAAAGATCATACATTACTTAAAAATAATATCAATAAAAGCCTACAGGGGCACTAGATAATAAATTTTATAATTGGTAAATTCATTCTAATATCTCACTATTGCAAATGATGAACAAAAATTTGCATTGTTGAAAGTGTGTAAAACGACAGAGACATCGCACATGGGTGTGTTTTCTTGAATTTTAAATTCAAAATATAAACAAATACCTTCACAATGGTTTCAGCGTATAGTTTAGGGAGAACAGTGTCGAGTAGATCCCTGACCAACGACGGCTTATTATGTGCAGCTGAATTAAAAGCAATTAATGTTACTCGTCTAACATTTATATCTGGATCAGTAAGAGCACTTAAAAACTGATCCATATTCTGTCTAAGCAACATGTCGATTGGTTGAGGTTGATCAGATATGGTGAATTTAACAGCCGTCAATAATGTGGTTCTCATAAGTGCAGATGAAGAGGATAGTGATGATTGCAAGTTTGGCAATAAATTGTATGGATCTATTAATGTAAGTTTTCCTAAACATTCAGCAACCACATTACGTGAACCTTCTTCTGTACATTCACAGTGTTTAAACAGTTGTTGCCAAATAGCTGGGACAAAAGGTTTCAGGTTTTCAATACCATTAGGTGTAGACGACTCAAATGTGATAATCTAAAAGTTACCAAACCAATGATTATTAAATATTAAAAATTATATTTTTAAGTACAAATTACCTCTTTTAAGGAATGTAATAATAAATATTGACGTTTAGGTTGCAAATCAATCTCTCTTAATATGAATGGCAAATATTGTTCCAAATTTCCAATAGAAATGCTACCTAAGCTGTAACTTGCTGATGATTTTATTTCTTCAGAATTTGACAAAAATGATTGCAATATAGTTTCCTTCAAGTTAACTACAGAACTTAAATCTCTGTAATTGATTTAGACAAACATAAAAATTGTAATATTAAAAATAAAAATAAATAAAAAAACATACATGTGTCTTCCAACTTCACCAATTACTAGCAACGAAAAAATATGTTGTTGGTCGTTTGTTGGATTAATTAATTCGGACATGAAACTGTTTATAATACCCATTGCTTGAGTTGGCTGTGTGGCTGTTAGTGCTGCTACACAMTTGGCTAATGAATGGTAAGCCTAAATATTTTTAATGTTATTTGTTTATTAGTGTCACAAACCAATTATTATTATTTATATTAAATAATACTTGTTTATGTAAAGTTAGAGCTGGAGTACCAACTGGCTGAGCCATCAATGGTGATATTAAAAGTGTTACTAACTCTTGATAACCAAACTGTGGAACATTTGTAGCAACCAAGGATTGGAAGAATAATAAAATAGCATTCAAGGCAGCACCTTGCAGTAACGGAGATTTAGTTAAAGTCATAATTTCTGGCATAATTATGTTAGAAGAATATGACATAGCCAACGGTTGGATTTTTATTATTGTTGTAAGTAAAGAAAGTGTTAACTGAGCAATATGTAAATCTGATTCATTAATTAACTGTGGTAATTCAACGAGTATCTAAAACGAAATGTGTAAAAGTTAAAATAATATTTACAAATATAAAACAATACAAAATATTATTTTAGGGACTTACCTTTTTTAGTAAATCAGCAGAAAAATCGGCATGAAAATTATTTAGCAACATATTAAGTAAAGTTAAAGTACTCAATTTCAATGCTCTCTGATTTTTTCGAAGGAAAGATGCCAAAATTAATACACCGTCAGTCTAAAAGATAATATTTTAATATTATATATGAGTAAATTCAAAAATTGTAAATTAATTAAATTTTACCAGAATAGAAGTCAAATCAATTTTCAATGGTGACCCAGCAACTTTAATGAGTGCTTTAACAGTAGTAAGTCTAGTAATTTCATTGCGCAAACGATCCAAGAATATAGGTAAACACACTTGCAACTCAGCTTGTAAAACATCACCTAAATTGCATATTATTTGTCCCATACAAGAAATTGAGCGTTCCTTTACTTCTTGGTCAATATCTGATGTTTTTAAACGAGCGTATGTGCAATTATACAACGGTACAGCGTATACCATAAAATTGAATTCTAATTTATTTTCTGATGAAACAAAATAAAATTATGAAATTATATACTTATTTAAATATATATATATATTTCTGTTTTTACCTAAAGGACGAATGACTTTGACCATTTCCTGTAGAACAATTAGTGCTTCTGCAGTGATTTTATAAAATGGATCACCAACTGCAGTTATAATGGGTGGAATTAATTGTTCTACCCAAGGATGAAAGATTTCAGGAGCATGTGATGTCAACACGCAATAAATAAATGTTAATGTATCAATTTTCATGTTGCTGCTAGACTTTTTGTCACTAAAAATTATAAGTTATTAAATAATAAAAAAATAAAAATGAGAAATATAAATAAATAATACCTTAGAGAATATTGAATTCCAGGGATCAAAGTTCCTATATGGTTGGTAAGAGCACCGGGTAGAACAATGACAAGTTCTTTCAACAAAGCTAAACAGTCAGTACGAGTTTTAACACTACGCTCTTTCATTTGAGTATGTATAGCTCTAACAATTGCAGGAACCTATACACATTTTTTTTATATAATAAATTATTTATAATATGTCTATTGTTTTATCATTATTTAACTKACTTGGGATTGAAGAAGGTACATAGCTGAATCCTCATCAGCCATATCAGCTGTTGTATTACTACTAGTCAACTTTGTTTGTTTCAACAATGTCATGTACACATGTAATATGTCACTTTTAACAGTTTCTTCTCTTTCTAAAATATTAGTGAAAATATATTTAACAATTATTATTCCGACAAAAATATAAAAAATATGATTACCTTTAAATCTCTGTATCAATGATTTTGATACATTTCTATACATATCTGCAATCAAATCCTTTCTGGTTATAATTATACCTT